TATATGTATGGTTTAAATATTGTTTGTTGTTTTATTTATTAAAAGTTGTTAACAATATAAGCACAGTTTAAACAGTAATAAATAATGAATCCTCGCATAGCGAATTATCACGACAGGCGGGGTGGTGGCGGAATGAAATTACCGCCCGACGAAGGTTAGTTGAGAAACGCGCCACAGCGCGGCGCCATTGGCCACGCTCAGCGCGGATCGATCGCCGTGCTTGCGAATCGTTATTATTTTTTAGACGGATTTATCGCGATCGCGTCGCGGGGAACAATGTACGCGGATCGCATCGATTGGCAACATGGACAGAAATGTCGCATGATGCTCGATAGAGCGGAATTCACGATCGAACGGCGTCCAACGGCGTCCGCATACCGAATTTGGCCAGTATAGCTTCTTTTCTTTTTAGCGCGAATACTTTAAATCGTCTAACGATCAGCGCCGCACGCAGCAGCGGTGTTGCCAAGCGTACGTCCGCCGTCGCCGTGCCCCGCACAACCAACCATGGACATGCGAATATATGATACGCGATATCGTGATTGAAACAGCTCGATCGGTAACGTGGATCTGATAGTTCCAAGGATAATAATAGAGCACTGACATTATCAACTGCTCTTGATTATTCGGTACAAATCTGAATGTTTAACCCATAAACCGACATTCTTTTCACAATTTGCTATTATTTCGATGTTTTTTAGATATTTATATACGCTTGTAATGCAAAAATTCTACATATTTTTGTAAAATTACTGTTCTGTACTTAACGTTTCTTGCTTTGACCGCAGTATTTTCCAAGAGGGCACGACTGCGCACGAAATTCGCAAATCAGACAAATTTTCTGACGACCTGCGACCTTTGATAGCGTCTCGTCATTGGGGATACAGCAGCTTCGTGTGTCGTCTGGTGTCGTCGTCACAATCGCGTCGTAATCGGTATATACACGTGCTTAACAAACAGGTCTGCGTGAAAAACACCGCCAAACGAAGTCTGCGTTTAATCTTCGATCATTCAACCTTTCACGAGCGCTTTTACGTAGCGTTTTACAGACGCAAAAGACGCGAGACGACATCTTAAATTTTGGAATCGTCCGTTTGAAATGGTACGTGTATTCAACAATGAAACTAATATATATTTGAATATACTTTTTAAATTGTTTATTTAAAGATAGCACCAGTTATTTAAATCTCAACCGACTCAACGTAATCGAGCCACATCGCCTGCAATTTTCTTATTATCATGAATATTGATTATCATGAATATTGAATCGCTTGAAAATTAATTGCAAATTCCCCGGCGGGCGGCGGTCTTAATTTAAAAAAATCATGGAGTGTCGTAAGAATGTTTGATTGATTCGGAAACGCCGATGGACATCGGATTTCCCGGATGACGCTGTCGTTCTTGCGACTTTTTGGTTTCGAGTAACCGCCAACGCGGTGGAAGAAGACAAATCTCGCGCTTCTTCCCTTCCCTCTGCCTATCGCGGCCGCGCAGCGATCAGTCGTGAAAATACGGCAATTTTTCGGCTCGCGCGCCCTACGAATCTACCCTTACTCGCCGCGACGATCCGGCAACAGCGCGCGTCCGCGCGCGCCCACCCTTAGAATTACCAAAGTAAGAGAGTCCAGCCACTGACGAGATTTTCAAGCTTAAAATAGTTTAAAATTAAAATAAACTTTACTTTAAATAGTTCACTTTAAATAATTTAAAATTTGAACTGTTAAAGATCGACGAGAAGTAAGTTTTGCAGCCGTTGAAAAATTCTTTAATGTCCGTTTCCACCAATGTAGATTAATTTTAATCTTTCTTTCAACTTACTCTTCGTCTTTTTCTAGTTCTAAAGATTAGAAAAAGACAAAGAGTAAATTGAACCAAGATTAAAGTTAATCTATTGATGGAAATGGTATAAGTCTGTTCTACAATATGCTTTTGTTTCTTGCTTTTATTATTTACATCTTGTTTTTTTTTGTTTTTTATCTGATTTTGTTTTATATTGCCCGAAATCAAAGTTAACGAACTTCGAAAGAAACAAGAAATCTGAAATATGTAGCAAGAAATACAATTGTCGATAAATTAATTGCAAAGGAAAAAAAAACAAAAGATAAAAAAACAAAAACAGGAAACAGAGCATATTGTAAAATAAGTTTTAATGTGATTAGTTTTGTAGTCTTCAGAAGTAAGAGTCCGACCACTGACGAGATTTTCAAGCTTAAAATAGTTTAAGAATTAAATAAATTTTATTTTAAATAGTTTATTTTAAATATTAAAAATTTGAACTATTAAAGACATTCAGCAGGGAAGCAAATTTTGCAACCGTTGTAAAATTCTTTAACTATTATTAGTTAAAGTTCTAAGATTAATTTTGTTTCTCATTGAATCTAAATATATAAACTAATCATGTTAAAGAATAATTTTAGAATAATTGAAAAACGTAACGAATAACTGCAGAACGTAACGATTCTTATGGAAGTCAGCATGATCACTCCGGGAGTTCGGAAATTGAAGAATGTTGAATATTAACTGTTTTGGATGTAACAAAGATAAATTAATAAAGATTTTACTTTTCTTAATTAATGTTTTATCATAAAAAATGTATAAATCTTAAGATTGTCCTTATTAATTATTTCATCTTTTTAATGATAAAACAGTGATTAAGGAAGGTACAATCCTTATTAATTTATTCTTGGAACAGTCAAAACAATTAATAATTTTACATGCTAATTTCCAGTGATCTTAAGATTTGTACAATTTTTATGATAAAGACGGTAATTAGGGCAGATAAAATATTCATATTAATTTATCTTCGCGACAGTCAAAATTTATCTCTGGTTTTTAGGTCTGTTCTTTTTAACTGAACTCTTTTTTTGTTCTTGCACAATTCATTTTTTCTCTTTTTGTCTCCATTGTGAAAAAAGGAGGAAAGATAAATTGTGCAAGAGTTCAGCTAAAAAAAACAGGCCTTTTAATAGTACTTCGTTGATGGTCGGGCCAATTAATATTTCTGTAATTGATTAAAAATAGCATATGTGTACGTACATATTTGCACGTACACATGCGCATGCAGTTACACATATCTACTTTTCAATTTTTCCACGTGTTCAATCGTTATTCGATTGGTTCCACCATTTTTCATCGAACCAATCAAAAATGCAAGAGATTTTTTTCGCGTTGCTTGCACTTTTGGTACTCGGCATCTTTGCTTTCTCTCTTTTTAAGACAAAAATGTATCTATCTCATTTTAAGTACAAAAATATTTGGGGGATTTCATGCAACGCGAAGAGACCTAAGACCACAGTGGCCAAACTTTTACTTAGGGACTCTATTCCCGTTGGCTATGTGGCGCCGCGCAGCGGCAGCGGCGCGCACTTCAGGCATGTTTTTGTATCCACAATGCTTTTGGGTCGGTTAAGAGGGGGTGGCGCCGGGTGAAGAGACGGGTCCAAGATGGCGGCAGCCGTGCAGTCGAGCGAACGCGGTCTCGAGGTGTGGTGTAAACCGCGCGCGCGTCGCATACCAACAACAACCGCATGAGATGGACCGGCTCGATCGTGGATTATCAATATTCGTCGCCCCGATCTTGTAGCTCTTGTAGAAATCGCGTATAATCATCGGTGATGTTCGCCTGACGCAGCTAGTACGCGATTCTCGAACTCTTGAACCGGGCCGAAAAAAAAAAAACACGTTCGTTCGTCTTAAACCCGCGAACATCCTGTCGAAAGTTCTGGCAAAATACTTTGTCGAAGCGTCGTTGTCCTAGCATTACCACGCATCGTGACGAGGTAGCGCGCGAGGAGTCGCGGTACTCGCGATTGTCATGGTAGGTTTTTTTTTTAATTATTAATTCCAAGAAAAGAATTTAAAGAAAGAGAGAAATTGAGATACATGTTCGAATTCGAAACATGCGCTTCCTGTTAAGGGCTAGCACGTAATTTAGCTGTATGCCTTTCCTTCTTCAAGATAGAGAAATTACTAACCTAGAGACTGTTGTATGCATGACGCCCCTTTTTTTTGTTCTCTTATGCCGAGCATGTATTTTTGCAGGCATTTGCGTCCTAATGAGTCACCACATGATTGGAATTATAAATGATCATTGGTTTATCGATGAGAATATGATAAAATATTTTTTTTTTTAGTAACATTTATCTATGTAAGATATTATTAATTAGATTTATTATTATTAGATAGAATTAATTTCAATTAAGGAGTCTGTTTTTTTTTGTTTTTGTACACTACACTGCATTAAAATTTTCTTTCTCACTTTCGCTAAGTAAACATAATATCTATCTCACTTTAAATTCTAAAAGTGTACACTAGGGATATGGTCAACGCGATGTTGCAAATGCTTCGAAGTGTTTTTTAAATGGTCACTTTATAAAATTCTTTCTTTTAATTATCCATCAAATGCTTCAAAACATTTGTAGCAAGATTTTGATCACAGCCTAGTTCAGCTATAGAAAACAGACCTAAAATATTAGGAAGATTTGCAGCAAGATGCCAATGAAATTTTAATAATTATGATTCTGATATCTATTCTTCAGTTTAAATTTTGGCAAATTATACATTAGAATTTTATAAATAAGTGTTCTATTGATGGATATATATTGCTTTTATTTCTGATTCAAATAGAATTTGTTGATTACTATGTTCTTTTTATAGGCAAGCAAAAAGTATGATGATGGAGTAAGCGATGATACCAGTGGTAGCGACTTTGATGATGAAGAGGATCCTGATAAAATTGAAGTGCCTGGTAAATTATAATAAGCTTATATTTTGTATACATATTGTAATAATATCCTTATTGTAATAATATCCTATGAATCTTCATTTTGCATAAGATAATGCAATTACTCTTATGTAAAATTTTAATATTTATATAAGAAATTATTTTTACTAGGTGGGGGTAAAGATCTTGCAACTGCCGCTGTAATTGGAAGTATTAAAGAAGAGAAACCTCCAATTACAGATTTACCAACAAATCCTTTGGATAAAACGCAAGGACCATTAAATGGTAAATCATGTATAATACATAATATTTAAAACAATGCAAATCTTTCTATTTTCTTTTGTTTTATTAAGTCTATTTTTATAAAAATTGTTTTTAGAATTAAACCAAAAATTTGGTAACAAAATTCCTGGAGGATTAGTGACAAAAAATGCATCACCAGGTTACGAAATGGTGCATGTAGGAGGCTCTCAAGGTACCTCGCCGGGAAATTTTGTTGGTGGGACAGGTCAAATGAATCAATTGAATCAATTAGCAACTGGTGGATATCCTGGTTTTCCACCAGGATTGAATCTTGCAGGATTCAATCCCGCTGCCTTTCTTCAATCAAGTATATTTCTTTTTCATTATAATGAATTTTACTAGTAGAAACTTTTATTTATATCACTTAATTTTTTTTAAAACAATGTTTTATTTTTATACGAAGATGTATGTATGATATATCATTTGTGTACATATATCACTTATAAATTAAATTTTATGATTAAATATTATACTTAGTTTTCAATTTTATTTTTATAGTTGTTAAATGATAAATGAGAAAATACGAAAGGATTTTTTATATCTTTTGATTTTATATTTATAAAGATAATATTGAGAGTAAAGTTAATATTAAATTTATGTATTGCAAAAATTTGGAAATTCAAAAATATAATTTCCAAATTCTTATTTTTGATAATTAGATTAATATTGTTACATTTACAATTGTATGTATTATATATATTTTATATATATATATGTGTATGTGTATATATATATATATGTATATAAATAATCTTTTTTAGGCATGGACATGAATGCTTTGATGGGTAGCTTTATGGGTATGCCTGGTATGAACATGGGAGTAAATCCTTTTGTTCAGTTACTTAATCAAAGTGGGATTACCAACTGGGCAGGATTGTCAGGTATTTACAAATTTTAATAAAAAAACAAATTAAAAGGCAAATTTGTACTATTCGTAATTTTATCATAGGAAAGACAGTCTCACAAATGTGGATGAATTCAGGTGATCCAACAAAATTGATGCAGCCAAATATTCCAGAAGAGGAAGAGGTAGACGATGAAGATATGGGTGTTGCTGAGACTTATGCTGATTATATGCCAACAAAACGTACGGTCAATATTTCTTTTAATTTATTTATGCGTTATTTGCTTTAATTAAAGTTTGCGATAATCAACAGTCAAACTCGGACGAAAGCATCCGGATCCAGTTGTCGAAACAGCATCTTTGTCGAGCGTCGAACCAACGGATGTTTGGTACAAAATCTCCATACCGGAGGAGACGATACGATCCGGTGCACTCTCTGCCCTTCAACTTGAATCCATCACGTATGCTTCTCAACAGCACGAGCATCTCTTACCCGATGGTACACGCGCCGGATTTTTGATCGGCGATGGTGCGGGTGTTGGCAAGGGCAGGACTATAGCCGGTATTATATTCGAGAATTACTTGAAAAGTCGAAAACGTGCCATTTGGGTATCGGTGTCAAATGATCTCAAATATGACGCCGAGCGCGATTTGAATGACATAGGTGCATCGAAAATAGAAGTACGTAATTTATTTGTGTTGAATTGTGTCGAATATATTATCAGAATATCAAAACTTTAATTTCGCAATGAATTACATGTTTTAACTATTTGAAATATTTATTAAAGATAAATTGATGAAAAACTGCAATAAATAAACTTACAGGTACATGCTTTGAATAAATTCAAATACGCGAAAATCTCGTCAGCTGTGAATGGTAATGTGAAGAAAGGTGTGATCTTTAGTACATATTCTGCATTAATTGGTGAATCGACACAGAGCGGCGGGAAATATAAAAGCCGATTGAAACAACTATTGCAATGGTGTGGCGAAGATTTCGATGGTCTGATAATTTTCGATGAGTGTCACCGCGCGAAAAATCTGTGTCCTACAGGAAGTTCAAAACCTACTAAGACAGGTTAGAATAGATATTTCATGCGTAAAGATTTTTTTTAAGAGTGACTACATGAATAACTGAGTTATTTTATTTGATGATATAAAAATTGTGCAGGATTGACAGTCTTGGAACTGCAGAATAAGCTTCCGAAGGCTAGAGTTGTATATGCCAGTGCAACCGGTGCTTCTGAACCTCGCAACATGGCCTACATGGTACGACTAGGTATGTGGGGTGAGGGCACGCCTTTCCCAGAGTTCACTGGTTTTATTACTGCCGTGGAGAAGCGCGGTGTCGGCGCAATGGAAATCGTAGCGATGGACATGAAGCTGCGTGGCATGTATATCGCTCGGCAATTGAGTTTTCACGGTGTTGCCTTCAAAATCGAGGAAGTACCTCTTTCCAAGGATTTTACAAAAATTTATGATCATTCAGTGCGATTGGTAAGTTATTGTGCAAAAGTATAAATGCTTCATTAATATTTCACTCGTTTGTGTCATATAATCTCACGCAATCTATTTCGATCTAGTGGGTGGAAGCAATGCAGAGGTTCCAGGAAGCGGCAGAGTTAATAGATGCGGAGAATCGTATGAAGAAAACAATGTGGGGTCAATTTTGGTCGGCACATCAACGCTTCTTCAAGTATCTTTGTATCGCTGCGAAGGTGAAGCATGCGGTGTCAGTAGCTCGCGAGGCAGTCAAGTGTGGCAAATGCGTGGTGATCGGTTTACAATCTACTGGTGAGGCACGTACTTTGGAACAGTTGGAACGTGACGACGGCGAACTCAGCGACTTCGTTTCTACTGCAAAGTCAGTGGCGTTTTAGACAATTGAGGGAGAATCTCTTACATGTTAATTTATGTATTAATTTATATATTGCTAATGTACTTAATAATTTACAGGGGAGTTCTGCAAACGTTAGTTGAAAAACATTTTCCAGCGCCGGATCGTAGTCGCATCCAACGTCTTCTTGGTTTAGAACCACCAAAATTCAAATTAGAGGATGATGATCTCGACGCTGGCGGTTCTGCTGGAGGCAGCAAGAGGAAGCCGATCCGTCAAGCAGCACAGCGTGCGACGAAAAAAGTGCGCTCTTGGTCATCGGAAGAGGAAATATCAGACGAGGAAAAAAACGGCGCTCACAGTTCCGGCTCCGAATACAAATTAAGTGGCACCGAAAGTGAGGACGATCACCATACGGACGAAGAGAGCAACGTCAGTTCTGATTTCAATCCGTTCTTCAGTGATAGCGATTCTGACGTTGGTAAATGTCAATTTTGTAACTTGATCTCTATTTTTCAATTGAAATTGTTACATTAGATTTGTTTGAGTTGCTTGAAATTCCTAAAAATATTTGCACTTAAAATAAGATAATAAATATTCGGAAAGAAAAAACGAAGATTCTTTGTACAAAAAGTGCAAGCAACACGAACATATTTCTTAGGTTTGTTCGCATTGCATGCTTTAATATGCTCCTATTTATTCCAATGAATGCTGAAGTGAGTAAGAGGATATTTGAGCATGCTGTAACGTACGACATGAACAAACTTATTGTAATTGAAAAATTTCCAGAACTATTTTTTGCTTCTCTAGATCCCTGGGACAGGCGAAAGAAAAAGGGCAAGAAGCAGAAGAAACCCGCCAAGAAACGTTTGAGCACGCAGGACAAAATCCAATCAATGTTAGTGCATAAACAGTCCAGTAATAAAAGTAAACGTAATGGCGACACGGCGATGAGTGGGTCAATGAGTGCTACGGGCGGAAGTGTGCCTCAAAATCAAGCACCGCCTAGAGATGCTATTGAAAGAGCTTGCAGCATGAAAGAGGAGTTATTATCACAAATAGAAATTCTTGGCGACCGATTGCCGCCAAATACGCTAGATCAATTGATAGATGAGCTCGGCGGACCAGAAAATGTCGCGGAAATGACTGGTAGAAAAGGTCGCGTCGTGCAAAGGGAAGATGGTGGAATAGAATACGAGTCTAGATCAGAGGTGGATGTTCCTTTAGAAACTCTTAATTTGACGGAGAAACAGAGGTAACAGTAAAAGCAGTTTGTTATATAATTATTTTATTCACAGATTAGAATTATATACTGTTTTCTATAATAATCATAATTTATATCAATTCTTCGAGTTGAATATCGACATTCTATCGAATATCTTTGTATGTATCAGGTTTATGGATGGAGAGAAGACTGTAGCGATAATTTCCGAAGCAGCTAGTAGTGGTATATCATTACAAAGCGACAGGCGAGCTAGAAATCAAATGCGACGTGTGCATATCACGCTCGAGTTACCGTGGAGTGCGGACAGAGCGATACAGCAATTTGGACGAACGCATCGATCGAATCAGGTCAACGCGCCGGAGTATATATTTCTTATATCGGATTTGGCCGGAGAGAGGCGATTCGCTTCGATCGTCGCGAAACGTCTGGAAAGTCTGGGTGCGTTAACGCACGGTGATCGTCGCGCGACTGAAACCCGAGATCTCTCGCAATTCAATATTGACAACAAGTACGGTCGTTCGGCTCTAGAAGCGACGATGAAAACTATAATGGGGTTTGTGTCAATTTAAAAATACATTTAAAAAATATTCCATATGGAATATAGGCACTTAATTCGACTTGATAATTTCAGATACGAACCGCCGTTAGTACCACCACCTCAGGATTATCAAGGTGATTTCTTTAAAGATGTGGCGGATGCACTTGTAGGCGTCGGTTTGATTTGCAATAGCGAGAGTACGCCCGGTGTGCTCACACTCGATAAGGATTACAACAACATGTCAAAGTTCCTGAATCGTATACTTGGGATGCCAGTCGATCTGCAAAATCGTCTGTTCAAATACTTCACCGACACGCTCAACGCTATTATAACTCAGGCCAAGAAGACCGGTCGTTTTGATATGGGTATTCTTGATCTTGGTACATCAGGCGAGAACGTTCGCAGGGTGCGTCTTTATCGGTTTCTGCGGAAGCACGCGACCGGTAAAGCACCAACGGAACTACATGTAGTCCACGTCGAGCGCGGTATGAGTTGGTCCGAGGTCACAGACAAGTTCTCGGAGCTGACTGGAGCTAAGGAGGGTTTCTATCTGAGTCATCAGATCCGCAATGGCAAACAGACGGCCATTCTCGCGGTCGTGGTGGACAGTGGGAAAAAAAAGTCCGAAAGCAAGAAGGATCAGCTTTATATGGTGTATAGGTACAGTCATTTAAAATATCATTGTATATCCACAATTTATCGCAAATATAATCTAAAAATAGTAATCTTTGACATTGAAAATTAATGATTGCATATTGTCAGGCCCAACACGGGTCTGCAGCTACGACAAGAAACTCTAGGCGAATTAGAGAAGAAGTACAAGAAGGTAAGCGCAGATGAGGCGGAGCCACACTGGACACAACAGTACGAGGCTTCTGTGAATACGTGTTCGCATGCGTATTGGAGTGGCAATTGTAAAAATACCACTCTTGGCATAGATTGCGAAGTGGGGCTGAGAAGACGTTCCTATAATGTATTAGCTGGTTCAGTTCTGAGTGTTTGGAGTCGTGTTGAGAATGTGCTCGCTACGCGATCCGGACATAACTCTAAGATGCAAGTTATACGGCTACGTACGGGTAAATTGAGTTTGAGAATGACTATTCATGTTTCGATTAATGTTCCAATAAGATCCGAAACCATCTAACAATTTTCTTTTGTTGTGACAGATGAAGGATTGAAGATTGTCGGGACGCTGATCCCAAAGTCTTGCATGGAGTCATTACGACAAGCGCTCTCCTCTGACGCAGAGAAGACAGAGGAACAGACATTTTGAATGCCGAGTCTCTCATCAAGGGTAAGGTTATCCTCTCCGAGATAATCTCCGCAAGTTAATAAAATTATTTTATTGTCATAGATATAAATAGGACCAAGCAAGACTCTCGATGTGACGTAGTATACTGCGACTGTAGAAAGACTTCTTAAATCTTTCGTCCAAATGCGAATTCAGTCGTGATTGTGCGTATTTGCATACATTACTTGCCTGGTACCGTTAAGATGTGGCGCACTAAGTAGATTCCGAATTGAATCTACTAAGCGTGATGAACATAAATAAACGCTTCCGATTAATTATCGACAAGGCTAAAATTACAATTTGCTGCTTATTTCTTTGTCATGTCTATGTAATCATTCGCGAAAAATTCTAGCATTCTAGAATTCTAGCACTTGCCACGTAGATTTTTAAATAAATAGTTGAATTCTTTCTTTTATCATCTATATATATCATCTATATATATATATATATGTGTATGTGTATATATA